ACATTCAGTTGAGTCACTGTCAACATCCCAACTTGATGTTCAGATAAACAAGTAGTTGGGGAAAATTCCGGGAAAATGCTTACCTGCTATACCAACAGAATAGAGCGAAATCGGCATTGAGCTGTCCTCTACGGCACTAGGTACCGATGGGGCATAAAGAAAGTCTGTTTTCCAGCCACTTTCTATTTTCCAAGGACTTCTAATACATATATGCCGTGTTTGTGGTAGTTCATGGACAACTGGGGTTCAAGTAGAACATAAGGTTGATGTAAATTCGGTGTTTCACCAGCCTTGTGAGTAATATTCTATCAAGAACTTGTTGATATGTCTTCCTAAGAACTGACTACCACATGTCAAAATGGAAGCGTACTCTCGCACATGCCAGTACAAAACAAAACCTATTTGCTGATTCTCCGTTCTGTCGGTTTGGTCAACAGAGATGGTCGCACACAAACACAACACAGGCAGTTGCATCGTGAGAACACTTTATTTATGCAAAATAGCGGTATTCGGTAACAAATCTTTCCAGCCAAGGACAAATAAAGCAGAGGAATGATTGTGAACGAAATTAACAAATTAACCGGTGGAGGCAGGGGCACAATCTGGAGCGAGATAGAAAATAGGGTGGTGCACTTAACCAATCAAGTTCGAAGAGAATAAACAGTCAAAAATAGAAGGAGTTGAAACCATCAATGAATACAAAGAAACGTAGACCACAACGCAACGGAGATCACAAACGGACCAATAGGTTTACGAAAACCGCTGCCGCAAGTAATAAAATTCGTTAGAAGATGTCACATAGTCTTCCAGTGTTATGCAAACACACGCATGCAAGGTATAAGTACCCGCGCAACTGTGCACTGATGATGTTTCATCGCATGGTGACGAAACATTTCCAGACTAATTGTCAAGCTCGGCGAACAGATCAATACACACCTGATCAACAACCAATTAGAGATATTCACAAGGTTGCATCAGGGAGATGTCAAATTTTCTCTGTCTGACCAAGAGGCAAAACCGTACGTAATGAAGTGCTGCTCCCGATGATGTTTTATGTAGAATAACTTTTCAGCATGACCAGAAAGGCTTACTGCGCAAAGATTATCACTTCATCACCCTGAGTTTTTCACGCTTCGCAGTCCTCATGACGATACCAAAGAAGTGATTTTATCATATCATGCAATAAGTGGACTAATCTATGGGTGTGTATATCTAGAAAAAACATCGTGAAGCATTTTTTACATGGAATTCAGATTTCATTGACATTTTAGTTGGATCTTCGACAGTAAATTTCACTTGTTCCTCCAGGACAGTCCATCTGAAGTTAATGACACAAACGCACCGCTAATGTCAAAGAGGCCGTCTAGACTTAGCAAACACGGACGAAAAATGAGTGATTATTTTGGGGATTTTTTTGCACATATCGTTTACTACGGATCTACTAGGGTTCTTCAATTTTCAGTGTCTAAACGTTTTGTAAGTTGCCAGTTGAAATTGTTCAATCTGTGTTGAGAAGACAAAAAGCACCTTAAAGTTGTTTGACGCCTGATAGCAATCTACCAGGCACGGTAGATCTCACAAAAATCAGCGGAGCTTCGAAAACCATGACTTTCAGGCTCAGTCGTCCAGTCCAGATCGCCTGATCAGCAGTGTGATTGACGCTCATTTCAAACATAGCATCGATCTTTCTTTGATCAAACAAACATCATCACGTGATTACGCATTGACTGGGTTCTGAAGTGACGAGTTTTCAGATGTAAGTTTCTCCAATCTTACGAAAGAGTAATCAGGATCGGTACACACCTGATGAAACTCAAAAGAGTTTCAATCCACGACCACTCAGTTAGTAGTTTGGCCACGAGCGAAACTGACTGCCATTTATAACCAGGTCATTAAATTCACCCAACTTATCTTGGTTCTCTTCGATCTCTAGCGGTAACTGTCAAAAAGCTCATTGAAATTATCTCGTTTGTTTGGAAATCTTTTGCACGAGTACCTACTCAATTTACAAAGTCATGAGTTGTCATGCTTTTGGAGTGGATGGGTTGGACGGAGCCTTTCTAGTCTGACTAACCAGATGAATGATGACTGAACGGAAAGCTTCTCTTGCCCAGGCTGATGTGAGCTTATTACTCAGTCATTGTTTTCTGATAGATCTTCTGAAAGTACTAACAATTTATTAGATAACTAGTCCATTATTCCAGCTCTTTTGACTCACGTGACTCCGGTTAAAACGAAGTCTTGCTTATGCGTCTTAGCTCTTCACCGAAAAATTCGAGCAGTTTGACTAGAAAGTTACGACAGTATTCCAGTAGAAGTTTCTTCCCTGGGTCGATCTTTTCACGGTCACCAACACGTCGACGGCCAGTGTGACTGTATGGCAATTCTGTTTTGTTCGTTAAGAATCGTGGCCATTCATTTGAGTGTTTAGCATGAAGGCCGCCAAAATTTAGCAGTTTTTAGAGCAATCCTTTTCAGATGCATTGGAACACCAGGGGCATCAGGCGGTTGTTTCAATTATAAATCAGACAAACTAGGTCAACCGGGTAGGCATAGGATCGCTTGGTCTTCACGAGAGGTCTTCTGATTGTTGGCAGTGTGAGGAGATTTGAGATTTTTGTGGAGATTTCGTCCTGTAAGTGAAGCCAATCTATGCTGAAAAGCCGAGAAGCACAGCTGTACAGCTGTTTCATCAGCAGTGCGTATCGCACGAAACTCCGAAGAGTCTCGAACCCGCGACCTCCCGCCTGGTAGTTTGAACACCTGACCGTTCGGCCACGAGTGGCTGATCAGAAGTGTGATTAAATCGCACTTAGACAGCGCCGTTCATCCTTCAATCACGGGATCCACATCACATAGTCACATGTGTTGACTGGCTCCTCGAGCAACGACGTATATTATCTATAAGTAGCTGAGTGGAAGAATAAACTTCGTTCGATGAGTGAAACGTCCTCTTAGAAGTCGTTAGTTAGTTTGCTTTTCATATACAGATTAGTGAACAGAT